AGAAGGATCGAATTCTAATGAATGTGTAAGGGCTTAAGCTCTGTGTATATGGACAGGCACGCATATCTCATGTAAATTTTTGGAATGCATGAAAAAATACTCGGCTTCAGAGCGTCCGTAAGTTTTTTTCTTATTACTCCGGTGGATGAACGGGATGCCATTTCGTGACTGTGATGCCAGTTCCCTGGAAGATAATACTCTTGTTAATTTCTAGGTTTACCGAGAGGTAAGAGTGCTTACTTGTATCATTTGCTCCCAGTGCTCCTGCGCATCAGGTGAACTGGAATTTAGGCCCAACGCCAACCATCCTAGCAACTGTCGGCGCCTCAGTACACCTACTGAGCTCCATACTTCGATTCGTACGGTACATACGTCCAGATCGGGACGATGTAGCTAAAGTTGATTCATTAATGAGAAACCGATAATTGCAGCGCAGCTGATTGCTAATTGTCCCACTCTGCTCAAAATAGAGACTACGCCAATGCGGTCATGACTGCGGAGCAGTCAGCTCAGAACCACACATGAGTAGAGCTGACAAATTAGAAATGATTTTTTTCGAGACAAAAGTGACAGATTCAAAATTTCTTTCTGGGTAAATCGAACCCGCACTGAGCAGCGCTACAAGCGATAAGATTACAAATTCTACTCTGCATGTTGATGTACTACTTACATATGTTTCCACCTACGCTTGGGATTTCACCCCATGTGCCTGTGAAGTGAGAATTATTCTGATCCATAGTCGGAAATGACGAGCTCGAAAGTGCGCTTGAGTCAAAGGCGCCAGTTTCGCAGAATTGCGTCGGTGTTACATACGCATTACAATCTGTGTATTTTAGAGGAGATACAATGTTAGTTTACCTATCAGAGTACAACACATATGTTTACACTGTGACTACGTCCACAAAACAAGAAAATTGGGGCAAAATAGCTCTAGGCAGGTTAGGCAGGTTGTAGATAGGTTTTGTAGGCAGGTTTGGTGCAACACTAAGGCTCGTGGTAAATTTCTTAGGGCATCTTTCCTAAAGCGCGAACCTGAGTCGATCTTAGGGTGCCTCAGTTTGCTATCCAGCGAGCTATGATACGGATGGTGATCGTTTTGTATTATAGAATTGACAAGAGTGCGCGTTCTCAATGGAAAAGGCAGCAATGTTTGTGTGGGCATGGTGGATAAATGATTGCGATGCGATGCGGTGGTCCCAGAACATCCAACGATAAAACAAAAGATGGGTGATTCGTTGAAGAAGATAATGTTTTGTATAACAATGATGTTGAATTACAATAGCATAATTGTCATTTTTGATGTCGTTTTTGCTCGCGGCTTGGCCCAGCTGGCACCGGATCAAGCCGGATATCGTTTTTGGAATAAAAGCAAAGGGATATCGTTTTTGTGTCCGAAAAGACATAAAAAATGACGTTTTTTAGTCGTCATTTCGTTTTTTGGGTGATTTTAGAGTTTTGTGGTCAAAAGAGATTTTGTACGAAATTTTCGGAGATCTAACGGGACTCCATTTTAAAAATCACGTGGTCCCTGCTTGTGCCGAGCCCTGATTTGCTGCACCGGCGCGCAATCATTGATAGCGGTTAGTATCAAAAAATCGATGATGTACTCAGCAAAGAAATAGGCAAAAAAATCAGGTAATTTAGCACGGATTTCTATGAAAAACCACGAATTTTGAACAGAAGACGATAAAATAAACAAATAAGTCATTCATCTCTGGTTTTGTACGAAAACAAGGCAAACCTTGCAAAAAAAGGAAACTTATTTTCAATTTACTGTGTGCAATCAGCAGTTCATCGATCTTTTCTATCCGTAACCCCCGAAATTGTGCAATTTCGCGCACTCTAGTCCGCAATACTACGTGATATTACGTGTATCCCCTAAGTTACTCACGAGCAGATTACGGGATTTTCCTCCGCGTCTCAAGCCTTGTACACTATTTTTGTAAGATCATCTCAAAATCGAAGCTGCTCTTACGGAAGTCAGG